CCTGCATGGTGCTCATTTGCTGCGATGTATTTTGGGGAAGGGGAGAGCTGTCTAGGGAGCGGAGAGGCTTGAAATATGAAAGTTAATTAAATAAAACCATCAGCGAGAGAAAACAAGCCTTCCCACCCCAGCATCCTTCGACTGTTCAGAAGAGATGGGCTGCGGCCAAAACCGGTTGTAGTCGTTTAATGGTTTGGCCATGAAGATTTTCACTTACAGGCTGTTTGAGGAAAATAAATGGGAAAAAAAAAAAATATTCCATGCCTGGGGCTCCCTCTTAATAGAGACATAAAGATGACTTTGACATTCCCAGAACCGCAGCGCCCTGGGAAGACATGGGATTTGCATGTTATTGTGCAGGGCTGCTGGAGGAGAGCGGGGAGGGATTTTTCTCTGGAGTGGGAAGCCGGAGCAGCAGAATCCACATCTCTGAACATCCCCCCTCGTCTCTTCCCCGGGGACGCGCGGAGGGAGAGGTTGTTGCTGGGGCTGTGTGCGGTTGCCGTTAATGTTTGCTCGTTCGTGGGATTGATTGGGTTTTAATTAAGGAGGCCGTTTGGCATCCTGGCTCTCAGTATCAATGACAAAAAGGGACTCCTGTGTTCTCCCCCGGAGGTGCCGTTGCCTTTCCCGGGCGGGGGACCAAGCGGTTGGCGGATGAACCATCCCAGCACTTCAGAGAGCTCTGCTGGCATCTCCCCCAGCCGCAGAGCACGGCGGAATAGCGGCACGCTGGGGCTCGGGGGATTTTTCCACATCCGTCCTTACCGGCCTTCGCGGCTGTTTCACAAGGCCCTCTGCCCCTCGCGCGGAGCCCGGCTCTCCCTGGGATCTGATGTGGGATCCGCGGGGGCTTGTGGATCACTTCAGTTAATGGAAACAAGCAGTTCCTGTCTGAGCCCTCCACCTCGCCGAGCCCTCGGTGGGAGCTCCGCTTTGCAGCATGGTTTGGGATAAGCCTGTTTGGACGAGCTGGACAAAGGCAAATTCACAGCTTTATCAGGAAAACTCACGTTCAGGAAAGCTCACAGCTGGAAAAGATATCCAGCCAGCGCCTCCCCGCCGCGCCGGAACCGCGAGCTCCGGGTCCTAAGGGCACGTTTCCAAAAACAGGCTCTGGGTTTGCACCTCTCCGCAAGCACCGTTTGTCTGTGCGTCCTCCCCGGCCAGCGCGGATGTGTTGATGCCACCCTGCCCCGCACTCGGCAGTGCCCACGGAGAGCAGCGCATGTTGGGGTACCTGCACACATAGGGTGCCATGCGCGAGCTCGCCCAGCCCTGCTCCAACTCTTTGGGGCCAGTTTGGGGCTTGGGACCCGAGCAGCGTCCGTCAGACCTAGCAGAGGTCGCTAGGTTGGGCTGGGAGCTGTGCCAAGGTGGTGGGCAGCGGGCGGGCAGGGCAGCCCCGTGTGCCCTGCGGACCTTGGCACAGGGGCAGACAGAGACCAGCCCCGCAGGTAGGGCCGGGCACGGCGGCACGGAGATGGCCGCAGCCGCGTTCGCTTGTGCTGAACACGCAGAAATGGCATGGAGAAGGCCGGTCCGCTGTGCAAAACCTCAAAATCGCTAATAAAGCGGTAATTAAAAGCACTTGGAAAGAGCAGCCCTGCCAGAAGGAGAGGCAGAGGCACAAGGGCCTTTTCATTGTTGGACGAGTTGTGCCCATTCAGGGGTGGAAGGCAGCCATGGAGGCTCTTGGCACCCATCCCCTCTGCCCAGCGTGCAGGGTTGTTTATTCTCCCGGTTATGAAACGCGGCAGAAGGGCCACGCCGACACGATGCACCGAAAACGCCGAGTCCGGGCCTGGCCCCGTGGTGGGGCATGGACCCGGGAGCAGGAGCCTCCCCTGTCCCGTTCGGAGCGCCGCGTGGAAGTGGCTGCAGTGCTGGGAGCTCCTGCCC